CAAACTCTGCTCAGTGAGCAGTAGACTCCTCTCAAGATTGTCAATCTCCCTCAAAGTTGCGATTTGCTTCTCGAGATCTCCAATCTGAGCTTCCAGAGAAGCCACTCGCACACAACCATCACAGAGGTATGGACCCTGGACGGGTACATCCAGGCATCCATACATGCAACAAGATGTGCATTGAGTAAAACCAGCAATCTTGCTAACACTCATTTCCCCTTTAAACAGTAAATTAAAACAATTACCTTGTTAGTTTAAACCCATTGTTTGTTTCAACTCCTGGTTTTCTAACTCCTACTTGAAAGAGTCTACTTAATAGAGGCTGCTTTCAAGTAATGTGAGCAAGCTCAGTGAGTTAGGGTTGTGCCTTTATGGGGATACAATTCCCACACAGGTGCAATTAATGAACACTCCCCCAATCAATCAAGCAGCAGCACAAAAAAAGGGGGGGAAACCAGAACACAGAAAAAAAAAAGAAAATTTAAAAAACAAACACTTTTTTATTTTTTAAACCTTACCAATTTTAAAGATTAAACAAAAATAAAATACAAACCACTCTCCACAGTATACAAACCACTCCAAGTAACTCCTGGTTTTCTAACTCCTACTTGAAAGAGTCTACTTAATAGAGGCTGCTTTCAAATAATGTGAGCAAGCTCAGTGAGTTAGGGGTGTGCCTTTATGGGGATACAAATCCCACACAGGTGCAATTAATGAACACTCCCCCAATCAATCAAGCAGCAGCACAAAAAAAGGGGGGGGAAACCAGAACACAGAAAAAAAAAAAGAAAATATAAAAAACAAAAACTTTTTTTTTTTTAAACCTTACCAATTTTAAAGATTAAACAAAAATAAAATACAAACCACTCTCCACAGTATACACACCACTCCAAGTAACTCCTGGTTTTCTAACTCCTACTTGAAAGAGTCTACTTAATAGAGGCTGCTTTCACTGCATTTTCCTGTGTCAGTGTGTATCTGAGTGTATGCGCCAGTGTGTGTATCTGAGTGCCACTGTGTGTATCTTTCAGCGTGTGTGTGTAGGTGTGTGTGTGTATGTGCCAGTGTGTGTGTATGTAGCAGTGTGTGTGTATGTTCCTGTGTGCGTCTTTCAGTGTATCTGTGTGTGTTTATCTGTGTGTATCTTAGTGTGTATCTGTGTGTCAGTGTGTGAGAGTGTGTGCCAGTGTGTGCCAGTGTGTATCTGTGTGCCACTATGTGCCAGTGTGTGTGTGTGTGTGCCAGTGTGTGTATCTGTGTGTCAGATTCATACACATTGACACACACAGATACACACACTGGCACATACAAACATAGATACACACACCTTGATACACAGACACACACCGGCACATACAAACACAAATACACATACTTTGACACACAGATACAAACACTTTCCATGATGTTGATACACTATGTCAGAGGGTTCCATGGGGAAAATTAATTGGGAACCTCTGGTCTAAGCAGAATGAGAATCAGGAAGGTGGTTGGAGTAAAACCAGGTTTGCTTTGGGACATCTTAGCAGCATCTAATGGTTGGAGCAGAGGCGGCTCTAGACTTTATGAGGCCTAAGGCGAAACTCAAACATGAGGCCGCAAGTGAAAAAAATTGCAATACATGCACACTGTCACATATACACATTGATGCACAGTTTACCTGTGTATGTACCTGAGAATGAGTCTGACAGAGAGTATCCTTGTGTGTGTGAATGTATGTCTCTGTGAGCATGTTTGCATTTTTGTCTGGGACCGTATGTGTATGGGGTAGCTTCTTAAAGAGTGTTGGGGTCTGCCTGGAGCCTTTGTGCATTGTGTTTATGGCAAAGCTATGTTTCCTGACTGTTTGTGTATGATGAATGTCTACAGCTGGCAACTGTGACAAGGTGAGTAAAGGGGTACCAGTGGCAGGGAGAGTGTGACAGGGCAAAGGGGTAAATGGACAGGGGGTGGGGGGCAGTTGTGAGAGAGAATGAGGGACAGGGAGTATGACATGGTTTGATTAGGGAGTGTGATAGGGCGAGTGGAGTTAAGTGTGTCAGGGCAATTGTGGCATGGTAGGAGGGACAAGTGAGACAGGATTAAGGGGGGTTAATGTGACACGGTGAGTGTGGCAGAGTGAGGGCAGGTGAGTTTGGAGGGGGTGAGATTAACAGGATTAGAAGTGGTTAATGTGAGTGTGGATGCATGAAGAGGCTGACAGTGTGTGTGTAGGCACTATGTATGGCACTAAAGGCTGCCCAAGCCAAACAGGCTCTGGTCTATCTGGAGTCCTAGTGGGACTAGAGATACCTGCAATGGGTGACTGAAGGTGTTGAGGAAAATCCTGAATTTACACATTGCAGCACTTAGAGCAGGTGATCTCACAAAACTTCCTCCCAGTATTTGAGAACAGGAATCCGTACTGTAGTAGAACAGCCTACAGCAGCTATTGCAGCTCCTGCCCTTAACCTGGGTCCCCACTGGACCCAGGCAGCCTGGTCCCCACTGGACCCAGGGAAAACAAACCACACTGCTAGATATTTACAGAGCTGCAGAATTAGCCTCCCGTTCATACAAATAATGCAAACACACCCACACAGTCCCCACAAATATAACACCACTGACAATCCACATACAAGCACACTACCTAACAAGGGGCCTCTCATGAAAAACCACAAGCAACCCCACATGGACACACACCACCCAACTTACACTGTGATATATCATCCACACAATTCCACAAGCAGCCCGCATACACCCCCAACATTCATAGGTATCATACACAATACCACAAACAACTCATGAACATATACAATATAACAGCCACATACACACAGGGACATATTAAAAAAAAAAGCCCCCAAATGCCCAGGCAAATGTCTTGTTAACTACCAGGCTCCACCCACACGAGGCCTTAGGCGGCCGCCTAAACCGCCTAATTAGAGAGCCGCCTCTGGGTAGGAGTATCTGCAAAGCTCTCTGTTGGAAGCCTAGGTCTAAGCCAAGAAATCTAATTAAACTTAGGCTCCCAACAGTGCAATCCAAGTAGAAGTGCAGTCCAGATCAGGACACACAAGAGCAAATTACATCTAGGTAAGGAAGTCTATAAGAATCACCACATGGACACACTGAGGGTACAATATGTTCATATCCTTCCAGCAACTGTGGAGGCTGGTCCATTGGGGCAGGTAGGGCTGCACCCACCAGTTTTTGTTGAAATAACCATGGCAAATAGTTTTTAATGCTTCATTCTCTGGGAATATACCTTATGAACATGCTGAATCAGCAGTAACAGGATTTCTGAGGTCACTCATTGGTCATCCACTAAACCAGGTCTAGGCAACCTTTTAGTAGAACTATGCCAATACAAGATCTTAAAGTCCTTTGGTGTGCCGGTTCTATTTTTTTAAATTGAGGTGTGTATGCATTCTGCTTGTGTTATTTATGGGTGCTGCAGTTGGGTTCTAACATTGTATTTGTGTATATGCAGTGGTGTATCCTGGTTTTGTGCTGCCCTAGCCACCCCCTGCCCCGCCTTCTAAATACACACACACACACACACACACACACACATTCACTGACAGACACGCATACACTAGCTAAAATACATACACACTCACTAACAGACACATACAGTCACTAGCAGACACACACATTCACTAACAGACACGCATACACTCCCACTAACAGACACACATAAACTAACAGACACACACAGTAACACACTCCCTAACAGACACACTCCCTGACAGACACTCACTAACTGACACACACTCACTAACAGACACACACTCACACTCACACTCACTAACAGACACACACACTCACTCACTCACTAACAGACACACACACTCACTGACAGACACACACACACACTAACAGACACACACACACTAACAGACACACACACTCACTAACAGACATACACACTCACACACTAACAGACATACACTCACTCACTAACAGACACACACACACACACACACATTAACACACTCACTTTTATTTTTAAATTCAATCCCCCCAGCCTCCTTACCTTTGGGAATGTGGGAATGCTGGGGTTCTCCCTTTCCGTGGGGTCCAGTGGGGCTGCGGGGCGGCAGGGGGGGGCGGGTGGCGCTGACGAGGGAGCACTGATTTGTGAGCTCTCTGCTCAGCTCCCTCGCACGCCACTGAGTGATGCTGGGAACCAGAATATGACATAAGAGAGAGAGCTCACAAATCAGTGCTCCCTCGTCAGTGCCACTCGCCCGCCCGGATTGTTAGTTAGCCGCCAGGCTAACAAGACATTTGCCTGGGCATTTGGGGACAGCTTTTTTTTAATACGTCCCTGTGTGTATGTGGCTGTTATATTGTATATTTTCATGAGTTGTTTGTGGTATTGTGTATGATACCTATGAATGTTGGGGGTGTATGCGGGCTGCTTGTGGAATTGTGTGGATGATATATCACAGTGTAAGTTGGGTGGTGTGTGTCCATGTGGGGTTGCTTGTGGTTTTTCATGAGAGGCCCCTTGTTAGGTAGTGTGCATGTATGTGAATTGTCAGTGGTGTTATATTTGGGGACTGTGTGGGTGTGTTTGCATTATTTGTATGAAGGGGGGGCTAATTCTGCAGCTCTGCAAATATCTAGCAGTGTGGTTTGTTTTCCCTGGGTCCAGTGGGGACCAGGCTGGCTAAGTACAGGTTAAGGGCAGGAGCTGAAATAGCTGTTCTACTACAGTACGGATTCCTGTTCTCAAGTACTGGAAGGAAGTTTTGTGAGATCACCTGCTCTAAGTGCTGCATTGTGTAAATTCAGGATTTTCCTCAACACCTTCAGTCACCCATTGGTTTGCACTAGCAGATATCTCTAGTCCCACTGGGACTCCTGATAGGCGGCTCTGGCAGCCTTTAGTGCCATACATGCTGTGTCATAGGTTGCTGACCCCTGCACTAGACACTCTAAAAGACTGGCCTGCATATTGTCCTCTCTTCTATAACTTGACATCTCATAGAGTCTTGGATTGAGTACAGAACATGACACCTCATTGGGTCTGGGATTAAATACAGAACATGATACCTCATTGGGTCGGGGATTGATTGAGTACAAGAGGTTACATTGACAACGATCAACAAGTCAGAGGGCAGTGTCAAATTCCAATCTTTGAAATACATCAGCCTCCATTGATCAGTAGATATTTATATAGTGTGGGAGAAGGGATAAAATCAACAGGCAACCAGCCCCCACACTGTGGGTTAAAGAAATACAATATGACAGAATGACACACATTTGAAAAAGCAGCGCTAGCTTCAGAAATGACAAGAAATAGAGAATAGTGAGAAATATATATATATCTGGTTCTTAGAGTGATCTGGTTTGATGAAAAAATTGTATGTGAAACAGGATAACAGAAATATCCAGAAGAGCTGGCATATTCAGTGAACAAACCAAAAGTAGGAAGCCAGAAATCTTCAAAGTTGATTACACTAGCAAGGGTCAAACTAGCAGGAACAGGCTATTCATACAAAGCAAAATATACACAATCAAATGTGTAGATGGATATAACGACTGTCTATGATGACCTTTATCGCTAGATGCTCTGCTGTAATTTGGTCAGTATTCGGCAGAGTGGGTTTCATTCTTTAGTTCCATATCCAGGACATAATTACTTTAGACCATTAGAACAATAAAAAGACATGGCTGCCGTATCTTTTACTACCAATGATCCTCGCACCAGCACCACACATAACTGTGTGTGAGCTTTGCTTGCCTTATGTGCTGTCTTCGCATTAACTTTCCCTCATAAGAAACCTTTCCCTGTCTCCTTTCCCATGTTCTGTGTGGACTGTTAGTGATAGCTGCATCTTTCATGAATTAAATAATGTTCCTAATTGACAGAATTCCTATGTCATCAGTTTCACAAGCAGCACATTGTAAATGTATCGATTAAATGGAAAGTTTTAAGGTTTAAAGGTTTTGGAGCTGCGAAAACTACCTCTGAATACACACAGATGCTGTTTATGCAGCTTCTTATTTATAGAGACGGTCGTTTGGTCATAAAATATTTGTCCTTTCATTAAACTTAATTTAGATGCCATCTGTGCTCCCAACTCTAACAACTTAAAGTGATCAATTGTTCTTGGGTTTCTAAACAGCAATGTTCACTTAAATGACTTGAACAACATAAATAAACAGCATGTTGTCATTAAGACAAATAAGTAAAACTGACTATGTGTCTAGTTAATGCATGGTTATTTTATGGATTGGTGTTCTAATGTAGTGCTTTTCCCCAAATAGGGCAGAATTATATTTACAAATATACATACAGGGAGATTGGAACAAAAAGGAAGA